TCCGGGAGTTGTTTTATACTATTATTATTATTATTATTATTATTATTATTATTATTATTATTATTATTATTATTATTATTATTATTATTATTATTATTATTATTATTATTATTATTATTATTATTATTATTATTATTATTATTATTATTATTATTATTATTATTATTATTATTAATAATAATAATTTTTGTTAGGTTATAATTAATTAACTTTGTATTATTTTATAGTGAATTATAAAATAAATTGCATAAATAAATGAAGAATTTTTTTTTAAAATACAACATATAATTAATTTAAAACTAAAATTCAACTAAGTATTAGAATTTAACAATAAAATGAATTACGTAAAATTTAAAAAATCTCAGCTCAAATCCAGCCGTTGATATAAACACAATCCAACGGCTGTTAAAAGGGGTACATGTGAATGATGCTGTTGGCATGTCAAAGGGCGTCGTTTTGAATGACGTCTTTTAAGGGCCGTCCGATCGTCCAGATCAATCTCGGACCGTCAGATTAAGGAGACAGAATTGAAGAGATGGCCATTGATCCAAACACAATCCAGCGGTTCTTAAATAACGTCATTTTAAGTGACGCTTTACTGTATTTATAAAATCACCCCAATTTTCAAAAAAAAATCCCGAAATATTGTAAAAAAAAAATGGCCCATATAAAACGATGTGTAGTAGCAGTACATACTCTATGGTAAACTGCGCGCGGCCAGAAAGTATATATATATATATATATATTAAAATATATACAAGGCCACAACGGAATATCCTGGGACTATTCTCTACGTCAAGGCGCCGCATGCGCTGCAGCCAGCCAACTACTCCTGCCCACTATTTTATTCATTTCCTATATACATACATATATATATATATGTCCCAACAAATTAAATATGTCTCTTTATTTTCAATTCCTACATACTATCCTAAATGATACTAGCATGCATATATATATGCACCGTATGATCCTCTTCAAAAACTATATTTTAGGACTTAAATATATTTAAAATTTTGAAAATATATACTTACTATAGTTTGGTAGGGTAAAATCGGGGGAAACGCCAGAATCGGGTGTGGCATATTTATAGTCAGAGCCATAAAAGCAAAAAAAATGAATCACATGCAATGGATAAGACACTGCCACGATAGAGTGTTTTCCACGTGGACACCAGTCATCTCATATTGTATTATATCCGTTTAACAATCACTAAAAATCATAATTACTGTTAAACTTTTTCCCATTTCGCAATTCCCCATTAATCAAACAATTTCCCCAATTCCGATTTACCGAATCTCGACGGTGAAAAACAATTAAAATGGAAGATTAATAAAAAAAGGGGGCCAATTAGAATTACACTGATTAGGGATACGGGTCAACACTCTGTATTATTTTTATTTATTTTTTTCGTGAAGAGAGAGAAACACTTTTAGAGAGAGAGAGAGAGAGAGAGAAAGAGAGGAGTGAGGCGAAAGAAAAGAGGATACGAAGGAATAAACCCCCCATGGCTCCTCAATGAAATCCGTATATATATATATAAAAATATATATGTATATCTACCACCAGTATCATTTTCTGGAATTGGTAATACTATGAAGAATAAAATATTTCGTTTCAGACTCTTCTTAAATCTGCATCTACTTCGTATAAATCCGCGCCCGCTGATGATGAAAAAGTTTCACTCCACGTAAACTGAATAAGCCGCTGCGTCCAATTTGGGAACAAGCCAAACGCCTCCTGATTGTTTTATTTTTTTTGGAAATTCTGCGTCAATTTCAATGGCGATGGAAGATAACGAGAGCTGTGGAAGTAGACGAGTGGATTCGCCGTCGGCGGCGGCGGCGACGAAGAGCCTGCGGCAGCGGAAGAAAGTCGAGGTTTACAATGAGGTTTTGCGGCGGCTCAAGGAAGCCGACCACGCCGAAGCTCGGGAGGCGGATTTCGACGATCAGCTTTGGGCGCATTTCAATCGCCTTCCTTCCAGGTCACCTTTTTTACCTTCCCCATAAATGCTGATATCTTATGTTAACCAAACCCCCAAAATAAAAATAAAAAAAGGAAAAAGGAAAAGTTTTTGCTACCGTTTTAACCTCTGATTACTTTTTTTTTTTTTTATAATTAACATAGGGTTTCTATTTCCTATCCTGTGGATTAATGGATTGATTTGGATGCCCTTTTTACTAATTTCTTTTGTTTTTTTCTTTAAAATGTTTATTCGTTCCTTAATTGTTTTGGCTATTACAATGTAAATGTACATGTATGGATCTAATCACATCACAATGGAGTATTGGGGTAGATCATAAAATCAATGGTGTCTCGTTTATAGATGTGTTGCATGTCTATGATTCTTCTTATTTCAGTAACAAACTCACAGTTTGTAATAACATTATGCTCAACAATTTGAGGTTTTATAAAATCTAGGTATGCGATGGATGTGAACTTGGAGAGGGCAGAAGATGTTCTGAAGCACAAGAGACTACTTCATCTGGCGTGCGATCCGGCTAATAGGCCGGCATTGGATGTCAGGCTTGTGCAGGTAATTAACTTGTTATTTAGTATGGCCAAATGGACTGTTTCATTTGATAGTCTGTGCCTTTTCTCCTTAAAATTTGTGTGAGATGTTGATGTTTAGTCGTCCCTTTTTTAACATAAAGTTCTATTCCGATGCATGGTTTTTTATTTAGTCGTTGAGATTTACGCCTTCTATGCATCAATTGTTTAGCGTTTTACTTGTGATCTTGAATTGATAACATGTACCTCAAGTACAAAGTAATTCATATCGCTTGTATCCAAGTTTTTAGTTATCGTAAAATTAAATGTTTGTGTATTGTCTTCAGCTATGCATATTGAGGGATCTTATATTGGTAATATGATGACCGGAGATGGAGTTAAATGGAAATAGAATCAACAAACTTGTGCCTATGCGTGAAAATTATACTTCATTCTTGGTTGAGGTTGTCTTATGTTAGATAATTGATGTAGTTACGTGTTTGTTCAGGTTGTACCTATCTCAGATGGAGATTCAGTTCATTCGTATTCTCCAAGAAGAGGAAGGTATTGATAAAATTATTTTTAATGAATATTGTTTTATTTATTGCATTATTATGTTTTGATTTATCTTTATTGGCAGTTCATTAATCTTTACAACCATTTTCTTTTCAGCACCCATCCACCACCTGCATTTGGTTCTTCTCCTAATCTTGAAGCCCTTGCACTTAATGCAATCAAGTCTGAAGCAGAAGACGGGGACATTGATTTAAATGATGGTGTCAGGTTTCCAAGGTAGACTTCATTGAGATCTTATTCACTGCTGTAAGATAAAGTCTAGACTACTACGTTCATACATTCTGTCACTTGTGCTCTTTGGCGTAACAGTATACTCGTGTTTGGTCTAGTAATATTTCTATCCTTTTCGTTTTGATATGTAACTTACACTATATAGAAGTCAATCTCTAACAAATTGCAAATCTTGTGGTTGATAGTTGCTTAATATTCTTAACTTGTCAGTAATTTGCCTGAAACAGTTGTACCGTTTCATAAAAATATTCAGTCATATATATTGAACTATTTATTTTATAACTATCGTACCTAATGTCTTCTCTAATTAATCGATATTGCAGGCCAATGCATGAGATTACTTTCTCAACAATTGACAAGCCAAAGCTCCTCAGCCAGGTAACTCGTGTTGCTTAATTGTAATGCATCAGTCTGTCATGATCATTAAATGGTTATTAGCTAGCACAAAAAAATGCTTATACTTCTCTTCATCCATTAATGAAAATATTCGTTGCATGCTAACTTAAGTTTTTGTAGCGTGTTTGCATGTGCATTAATGAACTGCATGGAATCATTAAATATACCATAAAGGAACATGTTGTAGCCCCTGACTGAACTATACAACGGTGAAACTTGCAGCTGACTTCTTTATTATCGGAAGTTGGACTGAACATCCAAGAAGCACACGCCTTTTCCACTGTGGATGGCTATTCCCTTGATGTCTTTGTTGTTGATGGTTGGCCACATGAGGTATTTTCTCTTCATTTCTGTGGTTGCTCTGTGGTAGAATTATTCATTATTTTTGTCTATAGAAACGGTTCTGTTGGAATGCACTGAATTTTAGAAATATCTCAAATTTTAAAATTTTCCAGGAGGTTGACCAACTTCGGACTGAACTTGAACGACAAGTTTTGAAGGCTGAGGTACTATTTTATGATGTTTTTTCTTTCCATTCTTCAATTGTGAGATGCCTGTGATTTTCCAACTGTCAGTTTTCACTAAAGCAACAATTATGAATGATATTTTTGTCTCGTGCAGAAAAAATCATGGCCAAGTCAACATTCCATGCCTCGTCTGAGTGAAAAAGAGAAAATAGAGATTAAGTGTGAATTTGATCATTTGGCAATACCCAATGATGGTACTGATGTTTGGGAAATTGATCCTCAATCTTTGAAATTTGAGTCCAAAGTAGCATCGGGATCATATGGTGATTTGTGAGTATCACTTGATGTTATTTCTGGAGCTTAATTCTTGTAGATGAGTGTTCGTTTTACTTAACAAACTTATTTTATACCTAGGTACAAAGGTACTTACTGTAGTCAGGACGTAGCAATTAAAATTCTCAAGACGGAGCGCTTGAATACTGAACTTCAGAAGGAGTTTGCCCAAGAAGTATATATAATGAGGTTCGTCTTCATTAATTTGCTTTTCCATGATTTTTTTTGTAAACCCAAGTTCATACTTGGTTGGTATTATTTTGAATTTAACGCATTGTTTTCTTCCTTCTTGGGTTTATTTGTTACATGTAGAAAAATCAGGCACAAAAATGTCATCCAATTCATTGGAGCATGCACCAAACCTCCAAACTTGTGCATAGTGACAGGTTTGCTTATACAACTTATTTAAAAAAAAAAAAAATTAGACACGGTTTTGACTTTTGACATTTGAACAATCCTCGGTTTCTGCATGTTTCTGTAATTGCAGAATTCATGTCTGGAGGGAGTGTTTACGACTATTTACACAAGCAAAAGGGTAGTTTTAAGCTTCCGGGTTTACTTAAAGTAGCAATTGATATATCAAAGGGAATGAACTATTTGCACCAGAATAATATAATTCACCGAGACTTGAAGGCTGCAAATCTTTTGATGGATGAAAATGAGGTAAGCCTAATCCTCTTCAAGTACGTCAATTATCATGTTAAAATTAATGTTGTTAGTTTGTTGACCATGACTTATCGGATTTCCAAATTTTCACATTGCAGATTTAACTATGTAAAAATGAAACTTTATTTTTTAGAAGAAAAATCAATCTAAATTCTAACTGCATATTATTCTTGTGTCTAGACGTGATGACAGAACCATTTTAACACTGATAGGAACAATTAGATGATGTTGTTAGGCTGGAACCTCACGTAATCTAAGTTTGCGCACAATTAGATATTCCATCTTCTACGAAACTTAACAGCTATAACAGCTCCACTTGTACATATGCCTTCTATGGATTCTCGATTTAGCTTTGAGAAGTTCGGCACATTTGGTTAAAAAAAAAACTTTATATTCAGGTTGTTAAGGTAGGTGATTTCGGAGTGGCCAGAGTGAAAGCACAAACAGGTGTGATGACAGCCGAAACTGGAACATATAGATGGATGGCGCCCGAGGTATATTCTTTTTTCCTTTTTTAGAAGAGTGTTAACTAATTCACTAATCACTTTAATCATTCTTGTAATCTGTCTTCCACACAACCAACTTGAACATTCTTATGCTTGCTTGCTTGTTGCAGTTCGCACAATGTGAGATAAAGAGCACATAATAACTCACGTATTTGTTCTCTAATTTGAAGGTTATAGAGCATAAACCCTATGATCACAAGGCTGACATTTTTAGTTTTGGGGTGGTTTTATGGGAATTACTGACGGGAAAGGTATTATCTTTTTTATCTCTCAAAATTTTACAATCGCCACTCTTCTGATTATTCGATATCCCATAAATCATTTTCATTTCTTGATCGCCAGCTTCCATACGACTACTTGACCCCTTTACAAGCAGCTGTTGGAGTGGTCCAAAAGGTAAAAAAAGAAAAGAAAAAAAAAATCATCTACGTTTTTGTAGTTGGTTATTTCATTTGCAATTGTCGAAAGTTATTTGGGCAAATTTTCCGAATTTATGTGCTAAAGCCACTTCCATTGTCTACTATTTTTTAGGGTCTCCGGCCAACTATTCCAAAAAACACGCATCCAAAGCTTTCTGATCTGCTTGAGAAATGCTGGCAGAAAGATCCATCTTTGAGACCCGACTTTTCTCAAGTTACAGAAATCTTACAGAAAATATCCAAGGAGGTATATGGTTTCATAATTAGATTGCTCTTTCTTATTCATTCTTACACTTGAGACTTAGGGAGACATAGACGTAATTTGGCTTACATTAAACTTGTCTCTCCTAAAAGGTTGGAGATGATGGAGAAGGAAGAAAGGAGAAATCTGGGGGATTTTTTTCTGCCTTGAGACGTGGACATCACTAAGGACAGAAAAACTTGTTCGATAAATCGACATGCATATTTATTCCGCTCCAATTTTGTTTCGTTTATCCCCCTTTTGCTGTTTGCATTGTACATTACCTGTCTCCTGTATTTTATTTGAGTTAATGTCTACTTTTAGATTTTGCCTACTTTTCCAACATTTCTTCATCTGTTTTTCTCCTTTTCTTTGTCAAATGTTTCTTGTAAACAGTCTTTCTCTGAACAGTGTAACGTTTATAAAATGTTTTTTTTTTTGCCTTCTGATACTTAAATTGTGCGTTACATTTTGCGATTGAAACCGGAAAAAATCTTATAGAACAATGGAGTTGGTAAGAAATGCATCATATATTACATGTTTTTTTTTTTTTTACAATCAATAAGTAGAAGTGGAATCATAATTTACAACTTACAGGTATCTCACTTCTCTCCAGAAGGTCAGAAGCATTGATAAAACGCCTGAATGCTTCCTCCTTAGGAATTTTTAAAAGAAAAAAAAAAACATAAAGACCATATATATTCTGTATTATGTATGTACAAGTTATTATTAACATGGAATTAGGCCAACGTGGAGATGTGGTCGCTGGGTCTGCGTCTAGACAAAAGGGGAACTATTTTGATCATTGCACTCAGAACGAAACCCGCAAGCTGCACTTAACAACATTGTATTAGTATTCTCAATTATATTGATATATCTATGAATGTATACGTCTAACTTACCCAAGCGAGACCAACGCACAGAATACTGAATCCTGGGAAGTTAAACGGAGCTGCCTCCGACAAAAATAAAGCTGCAACAATATATTATTTTAAATTTGAGATTGAAATATATATAGTTGATATTCAAAATGAAAAATAGCTTTAGGGCACCCCACCTGAGAGAGGACTATAAATCAATGGAGAGATGACATTAGCAAACGACGATACTCCCATTATGCATCCTTGAGCAATCCCCTATCACATCTCAACAAACATCAGAGAGAGAGAGAGAGAGAGAGAGAGAGAGAGAGAGAGAGAGAGAGAGAGAGAGAGAGAGAGAGAGAGAGAGAGAGAGAGAGAGATGACAGATGATGAGTACCTGTTCGTAGGGGCCGGCTTGTTTTGAAATAATGCATCTTATCTATATGCAATGAAAATTTTATGTCAATAACTATAGCAATGTTAAGGTCGGGGTAAGGACGCGATCAGTCAATATATTATACTATTATGTGGAACTCACACTGGGACTTGCTAGTGAAAGAAAGATAGCCAACGATGCAGAGGCATAAGGCACCTGCAGAATATACGAAGAAAAAAAAAATTGACAGCAAATTACATTTTACTATTAAATAAATTCTGACACACTTTGCGAAATATAATTGTATGAGAAGGGCTAAAGAGATTCACCCAAGATGTCCAGGCTATGCTGTAAAGTAGCATCTACATTAACAACAACAAAAAAATTAGTTAGTTTAATGAATTCATCGCTATATACATAGAAGACGATTTTAAATATTTGAGAGATGCATACATTCAAGAATCCAGCAACGAGTCCAATACAAAGCAATGTCTCCTCCCCAAGAAGAGGACCCAATGTAGGCATTAGGACCATCTACACATTTTCATAACACTTCCATTAATTAAATTGAAAACAAATAAACGATACATGTGACAAAAGAAAAACGATGAAAATTAGAAAATGTGTTGTTATGGCATACGTTTGATACGGTTGCTCCAATGTAGGTAATGAGCCATATATCTGCAAATTGGTCCTTCTGGTAGTGAAATCGCGCCTTTAAGTAATACTGCATTTTTTATTTATTATTGAAATGCCAAACATCAGACAGATCAAATTAGACTCCTATATATGTATTTCCGACAAATTAAAGCCGCCTTAGAAAAGGAGAGAGAAAGTATATACCATTAAGAAAGACTGAACTCCTGCCTCGGCAAGACTATTGAAAAAAGCAACAAACGATGCTAGTGACACAGTAACGCTGCAATAAAAAAAAATCGTAGATTTTATAAATGACTAGAAAAACATAATATGTTCCATCATGGAATATAAATAACTAATTAAAATTAGATTCGTTGAAATTTCAGTTACCTGCTCTTAAGAAATCGAATTATATCTTTGGGTAATGGAATTTTCTTAATGACATTTGTTTTGTCCAATTGTTCAGTGGTTCCAATATCTGGTTTAAGGATCGGCTGCTCTAAAGCATCAACGTGTCGAATTGTGTCCTCAAGAAAGGCTCTCATGTATACTGTTGCAACTATAGATGCAACTGCTGCCACCTAAAAATATAAATCAAAATTATTACAAAAATAATAAAAAAAAAAGTATATATGTATAGACGAAGTGTTGCGAGAAAAAAAAAAAAAAAAAAAGACCTGAAAAATTTGCGGAGTGGGAAGTAAACGAGCAGCTATTGTGCCACAAACAGTGGCCACAGATACTACACCGGCCAACAGTCCAAACGCAGAAACTCGTTTTCCCTCAGATACATTGTCAGCCTAAGCAAACAATAAAAAATCATGAATTATTGAAAAATCATTATAAAATGGAGAAAAATAAGTGTTGATCGAATTACCAGATAACTGAGGGATAGGCACATGACACCGCCTTCGCTAACCATTGAAGTCAAAGTCTTCAAAACATAGTACACGTAAAAGGATTGTGTCGTCCTCTTCAACGCCAATATTGCTGCATAATTTCCATAGTCTTATTTATTTATATATTTTGAATTGAAATTCCATTTTGTTGTTTTCTAAACTGTGAAGTAAAATACATAACAAATTGAAAACGTATATACCAAATGGAATGATTGACAATGTCAGGGGGATTGTGAGCAAAACTTTTCGACCATACGAATCCGATAAATTACCAATCAGTGGCATTATAACCACAGCTCCTAACCCTCCAACCTGCCATGATTTTCAGACAAACGTTTTAAGAAACTCAAAAAACGGTTGAGTTGGCGCCAATTTTAGCTCTTCAAATAATTAGATCAAGTTGGGCCTTATAGTCTGGGCTTAGGTCCATAAATATATGGGCTGGGCTCTTTTACAATTACATTTTGGTTTTAATTTCACGGATTTATCCACTTTTTTTTTTTTTTTTTTTTAAGTACTAACTAAAATTTGATTATTAATTACTTGTAAAAGTGATATTTCAGGAATAAATAAATGAAATTGTCTCATTTGAGTGTACAAATTAATGTGATTCATTGATTAGAAAATGGGGTTTTAATGGAGGCGTGTGTACTTGTACAAAATATTTAGGTAGAAAGAATAATTGTTTATTAATAGGACATGGTAAGCATAACTAAACCAAATTTATAATTTAATTAGATCCCTCCTATTTTTTATTTTATAATTAATTTCCTAAGATCATTGAAGTTGAAAGCTAAATATAATGATAATTATAATAACATAAGCTGATCCGAAATTAAATTCAACACACATATATTCCCATTGACTTTTATCTAATTGGTGGCTAAACATCTTCTTAATCTTATATATATTATAACTTATAAGCTCTTCAACAAACATCTTATGAGATGTTTAATAATACCTTCTAATTAAGCTCTTAAGTAAAGCTTTAGTTATTATTTTTAAATACTTGAGCATATAATTGTTTAACCTAATATATAGTTTGCAAATAATGGAGTTCGATTCTCCTTGCAAGCTTGAATTGCATTGTAAACACATATGATTGTTCATATATATATATTGAGTAATTTATGAAATAGGAATTTTAAGATTATATATAGTAAAGAAAATTACATGAGAAAAAGATCGATGAAGGTAGCTTGATCGATGAAGGTAGCTAGATTTCGATAATATATATTCAAGGTGGTCTAATTAAACAAAACTTATAAGAACAAAAACAAATTAAACTCAAACCAGTTAGTATATGAAACTCAATATATAATGCATGCACCGCCTCGTACGTGCAGATTTACACACACAGAGACAAACAGTAGACGTACCGCCTGCTGAAAGCCGGTGAGATAAATGGCGAGGGAGCACTCGTCTTTTCCGGGGCAAACACACTCCATTGTCACATCAGCAATCGTCGGATTTACCAACAACGACGCGAAATACGATAGAAATACCGTCACAAACAGGTGCATCAAATTATTCCAGTTTTCCATCTCTCTCTCTCTCTCTCTCTCTCTCTCTCTCTCTCTCTCTCTCTCTCTCTCTCTATCTGTTGCTGTATATTTGTATCTGTGATACTTAGCATCACCGCTAAGTATGAGAGGTAAAGACAAATAACAGGGTGTAATTAAGGAGTTTTCTATAATACACAATCTCTACCCTCTTTGGTTTTCAGATTCTGTAATTTTTAGTTGAGGGGCACATAGATTTCTGTCTGACTGCGATTTATTTATATATATATTTATTTTCTGTCAAGTTGTTGTTTACTAATACTTATCTTTCTGCTTGATTTTTTTCTTTATATACTTGTCTATTTTCTTCTTTCACTTCGTTTTCTATTTTTTTTATTTGTTACTATTATTCTAC